GAGAGAGAGAGAGAGAGAGAGAGAGAGAGAGAGAGAGAGAGGAGTCAGTTTTCTCCTCCCACCATGTGGTCCTGGGGATCAAACAGTTCGCCAGGTTTGATAGCAAGCACCTTTCCTTGCTCAGCCATCTTGATGATCCCTCGTGAACTGTGGTTCCTCAACCTATTGCTGTCCCACGCATTACTAATTCAGTATGCATTCGTGAAATAAGAGCCCATTAAAAAGAGAACCACTATACCATTACCCTCTCTCAAATACCCCACCCCCACCCGGTTGGTTTTGTTTCTTAGCTGAATGATTTGTTTCTTCAAGTGGGAAGATTGTTTTAAACACAGCTGCAGTGTGAATGTCTGAGCAGGCGTTCTCTCTCAACTTCCCCTCACAAGGCTGATAGTGGAAGGCCCCAGTCACTGCGAGCCTTTGGGTAGAAGCCACAGAAACTCCCTTGCCAGTCCGATGTGGAGGAGAGAGGGCATGCTTGACCCACTAGCTGCAAATGGGCATGTGTATTTTCCCAATGTGAGGGCCAGGCGGGAGGCATTAGCTCCCAAGGGAAGCGCTGGGACCTGCCCTCCTGAGGGCTCAAGAAGCCTGAGTGAAGAGTAGCTGCCACTGGTGTTCAGAACAGGTCAGGGGAGGCCATGTGTCGACCACTCAGGAGGCCTGCTTGCCTCTGCTAAGAGCAAACATGGGGTGGGGTTGCCATGGGTCTGTCATATCCCTAACAAGAGAAGCTGGATGCTCTGACCCAGGCCTGAGCAGGGAGCGGGTTTGGCCTTTGGAGGACAAGGGTGTGCTTATTCGTCTAAACTCTCACAGGACAACTGAAAATTAAGGGCTTGTAGTTCCCAGGTGCCCTTTAGTTTCATAGAATTATCAGTGACGAACTATAGAGTGGGAAGAAAGGGAGGGAGCAAGGAGAAGAGGGAATAAAATGAATTCTGACACCTGCTGAGTGAGGGGCTGCCAAGCCAACAGATTTGGTAGAGGAGAAGACTGGATGGGAGGAAGCCTCCCTGAGGATCGAGAGTAGACACCTAGAGGAGCTGGAGGGGAGGCTCTGGTAGAACCTACTTCAGTCTCAACCCCAACTACCACACACAAAAACAGTGCTGACTACCAGGTTATTAAAGTGCGAGCTGCTTGCCCCTGGTGTGGGATTTACTACTAACTTCCAGCTTAATCATGGAAGGTTGCAGACTGTTCTTGAGCTCAGGGGCTAAAGGTGCTTGTTGTGGAATGTGACCACCTAGGATCTATCCTTGTACACATGCGGCGAAAAGTGACCACTCAGTGGACCACTTACAGGTTGTCCTCAGACTTCCACAAGCCAGACATGGCCAATGGGTACCCCAGTGTATGAGACCACTCCTCACATACATTAAGTAAATGTTTGTTTTTATTTATTTTAGTTATCAAGATCTCTGCCCTGAGATGCAGGAGTGACTTCTTCTTTACCTGTGTTGTGCTGTTGGTTACAACCCTAACAAAACCGCTAGACTTCATGAACTACAATGGGACTATTATCTACCTTTTAGGGCTGTGCAGGTTAAATGAAGCTATACGATAAAATGCCTGACACTTAGTAGGTCCACGACAAATGCTAACGTCCCTTTCACAGTCCTATTCCCTCAGAGTTTAGAGCAGTGCTCATTACTTTGGAGAGGGGGTAGTTTTTGGTTAAGTCCCATCTTTCCTAAAAAAACAAACAAACAAAAAAACAACAACAAGGCTCTACAAAAAGAAAGAAAAAAATACACAGTTTTTCAGCTTCTTTCTGATTTTTTTTTTCTCTTAATCATTAGAGTGAGTCAATTCAACAGTGCTTTGTCTGGTTTCTACACGTGCGCTCAAGTTTTCGCACACGTGGAGGGGGTGTCACAAGCCGAGACCTGCGCTGGTGCACACCACGCTGGGCGGGCACGGCTTTAGAGGGTGCTCCCGTTTGTGGAAAGGGGCGCATTCTGGGAGCGAAGAAGCAAGTTTCTTTTGGCATGAAAGGCATCCAATCCAGATGAGGAGCCAGGAGCTCTGGGACGGCTGGTGAACTGCAGAGGCGGCTGGCACGGCCTCGAGGTGGCGAGTTAAGCTTCAGAGGGTGGAGAGGCTCCTGGGGCTAAGGGGCGGGACCCTCTCACCGAAGGAGCCCGGGGAAGGGACACAGTTCCTTCGAGCTGGCTTGGAACCCCGCTGTGGCTTTCATAAAGCTGGGCAGAGCCCTGAGCTACGTGCGTCCTTGCTAGACATCCGCCACTCCTCAGGGCTGAGATTTGGAAATGAAGGTCGCCTTCCAAGCCCTGGGTTGATTTAAATTTAAATTTTGAGTAGGTAGTATATTCACGTAGTTCAAACTACGTGAGTTAGGGTTAGGGAAAGTGGAAAGAGTGGAAAGTCCCACTGTGTCTCCAGCCTGTTCTCAAGGTTTTCTGGAGTGTATGTGTGTGTGTGTGTGTGTGTGTGTGTGTTTCTGTCACTTGAATGGAGAAACAGTGGCTTATGACTGCCGGCATTGTTGTATGCACTCTTTCTTTCCCTTTCCTTTCCTTTCCTTTCCTTCCTTTTTTCTTTTTTTCTTTTATGGGGCAGGATCTCACATAGTAAGCCCTAGCTGGCCTGGAACTCGCTATTTAGACTGGGCTAGCCTGGAACTTTCAGAAATCTGCTGCTGTTCTGTTACTACCATGATCTGCTCTCTCTACTTGCTTGCTTGCTTCCTTTCTTTCTTTTTTTTCTTTTTTGGTTTTCGAGACAGGGTTTCTCTGTGTAGCTTTGGAGCCTATCCTGGCACTCGCTCTGGAGACCAGGCTGGCCTCGAACTCACAGAGATCCTCCTGCCTCTGCCTCCCGAGTGCTGGGATTAAAGGTGTTTGCCACCAATGCCCGGCTGCTTGCTTCCTTTCAATAACAGGGTCTAACCATGTAACTCTGGCTGGTCTTGAGGTTCCTTCCACAGAGGCACATACAAAGCTTCCTCGTTACTTTTTTTTGGGTCTGCAGGGTGTCCCATATTATGTGCATACAGAATTTTAATTCGATGCCCATTGGTGGACTTACTTTTTTTTTTTTTTTCTAGTGTAAATGCTACAGAGTGAGGAATTATGAGTAGGTTGGTTTACATGCTCAAGCGCATCTTGTAGGGTGTTGCCAAGTAGCCCCTCCTAGAAGTTTCTTCAACATTTACTCCATTCACATTGGGTGATAGTTTGAAAGGGGTGCTTTTATAGGCAAGTTCTCAAAATGTTAATTTTTAAAATCTTGAGGTTGGTAGCAAAGGGTCTGATAATGCTAACAACCCTTGTGGGACTGTGTGCTGAGGTTTGGGTCAGGTGCGCTGTGTTTTAGAGGAGACTGAGCCATGCCAGTGATTCTGAGGTCGGAGTAGTGTGGCAGCTGAAAGCAATGGAAAGGTTGCGAAGAGTAGATGTTCCTAGAGACACTACGGAATTGCCACAGCTCCCCACATCTGTTGGCTTCCTCTCCTGAGAGCTGTCTGATTCACCAGACAGGCATTTATTAGGCTCTTCCTTCGAATAGTCCCTCATCCTGGGTGATGGGCAGGCAGTGGGCACAGCCACCCGAGGCTGTTGGACTTTAAACTCTGCACATCAGACATCTGGCTCCCCTGTGGGAAGTGTGTGTATGTCTGTATCTGGTGTGGCAGTGACAAGATGGGGATTTCATTGTGGTGGGGGAAGCACAATCAAGTAGTCTAAAGCTAATTGCCAGGTAATGAGGTATGCAAATGAGCTCCTATGTGTGAGAGCACTCTTGAAAATAAAAGTCCTGGACATGTTCAATGACCTGCCTTGCTGCACAAGAAACCGTGCCTGCCGCACACACTCTGCTCTTGCCGCTAGGTCATCCCAGGCCACACTGAAGTCACTAAAGATGGGGCAAATCAGTTGTACTTGACCTCAGAAACTAGGAGAGTAAACCACACCATACAGGTTCCCTCTTCCACGGTTTGGCTGGGTCCTTTTCTTTTTTAGATTGTTTTTTTTCTCTGTCACCCAGACTGGCTTAGAACTCCCTGCGGTCCTCAAAGACCATTTAGGTTTATGGGAAATGCATCTTTTATTTCTTGGAACCGAGCCATTCATTCATGTGCTGGGCACGGGCAGTTAGGGGCCCAGGATGTCCGCTGTGCTTGTTCAAGGACTCAAAGGTCCATGTCCTGTTTTTCAGATGACTTCGGGAAATTGCTGCTAGCGGAGGCCCTCCTGGAGCAGTGCTTGAAGGATAACCACGACAAAATAAAAGACTCCATCCCTTTGCTGGAGAAGAATGAGCACAGGCTAAATGAAGCCAAAGATCACCTGAGTAGCATCCTGAACAATGGGAAGCTACCAGTGAGTCTCCAGGTTATCTTGCTCCAAAGGTCAGGGCGGGGCCGGGGTCTCTAGGCAGCAGGTGTGCTCAGGTGGATTCCTCTGATGGAGAAGAGATGGGTAGTCCTGAGGTGCTGCCTCCTGTCATCTTGACCGTACAATCTGGGTGGTCCTTAATGTCCAGGCTAGCCCACTTCTGTGGAGATGAGTGAAAGTTAGCCACAGTTCTGATTTCTGCTACTCATTGGGTGAGGAATTGCACCATTTATCAAGGCTTCCCAGGTACTTTTTACAATGGCATGCTGTTGGCCCAGCTCCTGTGACCTAAGAGAGTCGGGCGGGCATGTAGCAAATATGGCTCCATCTGCTGTGACATCTCAAGCTCTGATGTTCCCTGCTGCTTCTCGGTGCTGTCTCCCAAAGAACTAGAGTAGAAATCCAACGACCAAGAAACTTGAATTGTTTGAAGGATGGCTTCTCCAGGCTTTACCTTCAGAGTGAAATGCTTCCTTATCTGTTCTTTCCTATTGAGCATCTTTGTGAGGGTATGGGGCCATGAGGCAGAGACAGGACAGGCAACTATATAGCAGGGGTTTCTTTATTCTAAGTTGAAGAAGTCTTACAGGTACCCTTCCACTTGGTTGGGATTTGCAATTCTGACTGTTTAGGTCAGCAGACCAAGAACACTTCAAATTCAGTCAGGGGAGCTGGCTTTCAATGTTGCCAAGTGAAGACAGAAAAAAAACAAAAAAACAAAAAAAAACCCAAAAACAAAACAACCAAATATAGCAGTGAAACTATATGGTTACTATTGCTCCATCAGAGACAGACAGCTTGGCAATAAAGGTCAGGATGGATATACTTCTTGCCACCAAGAGCAGCTTTTTTTTTCTTTTTTTTTTTAAAGATTTTATTTATTATGTACACAACATTCTGCTTCCATGTATATCTGTACACCAGAAGAGGGCACCAGATCTTGTAAGGGATGGTTGTGATCCACCATATGGATGCTGGGAATTGAACTCAGGTCCTCTGGAAGAGCAGCCAGTGCTCTTAACCTCTGAGCCATCTCTCCAGTCCCCAAGAGCAGCTTTTAACATAGGAATCATTCACTGTGTTGTCGTCTCCCACTCCCAACTTAGTGGATGCCATGTTGTAAGCTGTCAGTAGTGCACAGGGGTCTACCAGCAGACACACACACACACACACACACACACACACACACACACACACTTGTCATGTCCTTCCCAGTAATCACTGCCCTTTCACCCCTGTGCATGGTGGTAATAACTGCCCATGGCCTGTATTTATCTTGCTCTTCTCTCAGGGGCAGCTCAAAGCTGTTCTAGACTTTGCCCTACTAAGGTAGCTTCCTGGGATGGGAAGCAAGGCATGGCTGCTAGTATCTTTCCTTCACCACAGGGAAGATGGGGCTGGGTGGGGAGGACCTGAGCCTGGAGCTTGAGACCAGCATGTGGAAGGGCAAAGGCCTGTGGGCTGGATCACTCTGGGGATGTGTCACCTGTGACCCTGACTAAGGGAGCAGGTGGCCTCTTTGGGGAAACTAACAAATGGCCTTAAAAACAAAAACAAGCTGGGCGTTGGTGGCTCATGTCTTTAATCCCAGCACTTGGGAGGCAGAGGTGAATCTCTGAGTTCGAGGCCATTCTGGTCTACAGAGAGAGTTCCAGGACAACCTCCAAAGCAATAGAGAGAAACTCTGTCTGGAAAAAACAAACAAACAAACAAAAAAAACCCCAAAAACCAAAACCAAAAAACAGCCTTTGAGAGTTAATAGTAGTCAGAAGATGATACTTCTCAAGGCACTGTGAGGTGTTGTTTTTATTCTTTTTACTTTTTTTTTTGGCTTTTTGCTCATTTTGGGGGTCCTGCCATCCAGCTCTCAAATAAATCACATGGAGGCTTATACTTTCTTATAAATGCCTGGCCTTAGCTTGGCTTGTTTCCTGCCAGTTTTTCTTAAATTATCCTATCTATCTTATGCCTCTGGTCTTTTATCTTTTTCTATTCTGTATACTTTACTTCTTTCTCCATGGCTGGCTGTGTGGCTGGGTGGCGGAGTAGCTGGGTAGCTGGCCCCTGACATCCTCCTCTCCTTGTTCTCTTGCTCCTTCCTTCTCTTCCCTTATTTCTCCTACTATTTATCCTCTCTGCCTGCCAGCCCCACCTGTCCTTTCTCCTGCCTCCCTATTGGCCCGTTCAGCTCTTTACTAGATCACCAGGTGTTTTAGACAGGCAAAGAATCACAGCTTCACAGAGTTAAACAAATGCAGCATAAACAAAAGCCACACACCTTAAAATAATTTTCGGCAACAGTGAGGCATTGTGGGGACTTAACAGAGGAAGGAGCTTCCTGGGCGCTGGGGAGGCTTCCAGGAGGAGGTTGGGCTGAGGGAACAGACGACAATGTGGACAGGCATGGGTATTGAAGGAATGGCTATTCTCCAAAACCAGAAGAGTAGTGGGGATGGAGAATTTGGCTTCCGTGGGGCTTGGCTTTGCCTCGCTCAGTGTCTCTTACTTGGGCTCTGAGGGAGGATGATGATGAGACTGGAGGAGGCGCACCCTGGGGTCAAGATCCCTTGACTTACCTACCCACTTGTAGACTGGAAATCACCTGCCTGCCAGTGGGAGAGGTTAGGGCCTGGAACCAGAACTTAATCTCCAGAGTGCCCTCATGCCAAGGGCAGTGGCCAGAGCCTGGGCTAAAAGGCCAGCTGTGCACAAGGTGCTTTTAAGAGGTGGTAATCTTCAGAGTAGAATCGACTCACGTCTAAGGCTAAAGTTTAGAGTTCAGGACTCCACCCAGCCAGACCAGCTCAGCCCCTCTCAGTCAGCAGTACTGACTGAATTGACAGTGAACACATCCCCTGCTAGGGTAGCTTGGCCAGAGCCAAGCAGACCAGTTGAACCCCTAAGGAGGTTCTGAGTGGGTAGAGATTTGTGCATAAATAGCGCTACAGAGAGCAGGGCTTGGATTAGGTATTTTGGGCCTTCCAGGCATGTAGCCCTACTTCTGATAAAATGAGCATGGTGACACAGCAGGCCTTCATTTGTCGTCTGTCACACGCTGCTAATGTAGCTGGTTCCCCTTATAAAAATCCTGCTGTAGAGGTGCAGGTGCCAACTTTGGGGTCCTCATGGGCTCTTTCTAAAGCTTTTCATCTAATGTCACCTCACACACACACACACACACACACACACACACACACACACACAAGCCAGTGTATAAATTGGACTCAGCTGTGGAGGCCGTGGGGCACAGGCATCATGGTGGCTTCCAGGAGGAGGAAGGAGAGTTCTGAGCAGGGTCTTAGGCAGTAGGATGGCATGGTGGAAACTTTGGAGCAGGAATCTGCTAACACATCTCTCTGTTCTTGCAGCCACAGTACATGTGTGAGGCCATGCTGATCCTGGGCAAGCTGCATTTTGTGGAGGGCTCGTACCGGGATGCCATCAGCATGTATGCACGGGCCAGGATTGATGACATACCCCTGGAGAACAAGCCCCTGTATCAAATGCGGCTGCTGGCAGAGGCTTTTGTCATCAAAGGTAGTTGTGCATGGCTGTTTGGCTTTCCCCACCACCCAACTGGTCCACTCTGGTCTCAGGTGTCTAGAGCAGGCAGCCACACAGGGCAGTGGGCCTGCAAGGTTGAATCCAGATATTAACCCCAGGCCATGGCTACACACTGCTATTCAGGGAATGCTGCCCAGGGCAGCCTGGGTCCCAAGGGTCTCTGTCAACTCAGGCTCTTAACCTGGGCTTTGTTGAGAACTAGTTACCAAACTGAATGCCCTTGGGCAAACTGCCTCTTTACCTTTCCTGGCTTCTGTTGACTTGTTTGTAAAAGGAGGTTGTGATACCAGCCCTCCCAGGGTTCTCATGACCAGAGTTGTAGAACCAGGTCAAGAAAAACCTTAAAGGGCTTGCCTGTTCTTGTCAGGCCTGCCCTAGTAACTGACACTGCTAGGGTCTGTCACTCTCCAGATGTGGGGCCCCTGTTGTGAGCAGAGAGGGGGAGAGCCAAGAGGGACTGCAGAGATCCAGTGATAATGACTTGCTGTCCTGGAGGAGCTCTCAACCTTCCCAGGGCAAAGGCCCAGGATCAGATCAATGAGAGGAGTTTCATGAAGGGCACACACACACACACACACACACACACACACACACACACACACACACACACACTCACTCACTACCCCCCCCCACACACACACACACATACACGGCACACTTTGTGCCCTGGGAAGGGCCTGCCTTTAGTCTTAGTGGCAGTCAAATCCCTACCTCCCAGACTGCTGGTGAAATTCTGGGGTGTTTGACCATCCCTCTATTCCAGTAAAATCTGCCCTCAGAGAAAAGCCTAGAAAAGCCACCTATATTCCTATTGGATTTGGAGCCTGGCACTGGTTAGAGTATGTATTACTCTGGTTCTACATGGGGAAACTGAGGCCTAGAGAGGAAATGTACATTGCCCAAAGTTAGCCAGATGGATTGAGGGCCAGAACCTCCAGTCTGTGGTGCTGGCATTGGAAAATGTGTGTTCCCTCCCTGTCTCGACACAAACATACTCCTCTGTGGGCTTGGGGTCCTCATAGGAGTAATTGTAATATCTGTGGATGACCTACCTGGACTCTGGCTGGAGGGGCCCTGAGGTTCCTGAGTCATTTCCCTATGGAGTCTACATCATCCTAGAAAGCCTACTGCGTTGTTCTCCCTGGGCAGGTGGGCTGGAGGGCAAGTACCCACATGGTAAGGCCCAGTCTGAACGGGTCTTTATCTTCGGCTTGCTCCCTCCTCTGTGCCCGTGGCACTGGCCAGTCTTGGGAAGGGATCACTTTCTGGTGCTCAGGTCTGTCTTCAGGGTGTCTTGGGTACTACTTGAGCTGTGGATGTCCTGAACTGAGCATCTCCCCTTGGGGCTCCTTTTCAGTCCTTTCTCCTATCAGCCTTGCTCAGTACATATTGCTTTCTGTGTCCTGCTCTCTACTCTAGCATGCCTCCAGCTTCTTGGGGGAACACAGTCCTGGTGGTCAGAGGTCCTGCCAGGGAGGTAAGGATCTTCCATTGCTCGCATGGGCTGCTCAGTTGCAGGCTGTGCTGACTCCCCGCCCCTCAGTGACCGCATGTGTCCCACCCCTGTCCCTTTCCTGGCTCCTCTCTGCTTGTCCTCCCTGTCCTGTTGCAATGACCACACCTGCTGCTTGGCATGTTGGGGTTCGCCTGAGCCTGTGTGTGCCTGAGACTGTGCACCAGGCCATCAGTGTGTGCATGCTATGACTTAACCCAATCTGTGGGGTCTGGTGGGTCTCTTCACCCAGAGGTCACAATGGAGACCCGAAGGGCTGCTTGTTGGGACTGACTTCATTCACAAATATGGGTGTAGTGACAGCTGGAGCCCCAAGCTCACTGAGCAATGTACTAATAGCCATTACATCCTCACTCCAAGTTAGGTGTGGCCTCCAGTGAACCTGCAGACCCCTGAGTCGTGCTCTCTTCTTCCCATGCTACACGTGAGAGCTGAGGTTGGAGCAGGTGTCTCTTGCCAGATCCCCCAGCACAGGATCAAACCTGGGCAGCCAGACCTCACAGACAACCCCTAATGTAGTGCTCAGAAGTCTAGGTGGAAAAGGGTTAGACCAAATCCTTGTGTTAGAGATAAGGAAGCAGGTTGATGGAAGGGAAGCCATTAACCCAGTACTGCAGTTAGCTTCTATTGGGACTAGCATCTTCCATGTCCCAGAAGCCTATCAATTTTGGCTCTTTCTAATTCTGGGTGGCCTCTGAACGTGCCAGCCTGGCCCAGTTCCAGTACTTCTGGCTGTCAGACTATAGCTTTTCCCCCCTTTTTTATGTTTGTGTGCTTATGTTTGTGTTATATGCATGTATGTATGGATGGATGCATGTTTGTGTGTGTATGTGGGTTCTCATGCATGTGTATGCATGCATGTATGTGGGGCTCTAGAGTTGACGATGTTGGGAATCGTCTTTCTTCAATTGCCATATTCGTGGAGGCAATTAAACTCAGAGCTTGCTCTGAGGATCCTGTCTCTACCTTCTGAGACTGGGATTACAGGCAGGCTGTCATGCCCCCCCAGCATTTCTGTGGGTTCTGGAGATCCAAACTTTGGTCTTTATGTTGTGCAGCAATTCCTTTAACCACCGAGCCATCTCTGCAGCCCAGGACAACAGCTCCATGACCCTTTTGAGGGGCTTCCATTTGGTGCTACCCAGTGCATACCTGGCTAAGATGGAGAGCACAGAACTTCTGTATTGGAGGGGATCCTGAACTCACCAGCCTGGGAAACTTGATGGGGCCAAATGTGAGCCGCTGTTCTTCTAGGGTTCCAGATGGGCTCCTGAGCTCTCTATTCCATCCTCCAAGACATGAAAGCACACCCAGTACCTTCCTCTTCAGATAAGAAGGACTTGGCAGTGTGGCCCTTAGAGCATCTAGGATGTGAGGTCTATCTCTTTATCAGACAGGGACTCTTTTCCCAGGCAGGTAGAGAATGCTGACTTTAAACCTCACTGGGGACTTTGAGAGAGGGCTGGTTGTAGTAGTCTTGGGTTTCTGTTGTTAAGAGATCAGCATGTATAACACATACATGTCTATGGGATGGAGAATGCATGACCATTCAACTTCTCTAAGGGTAAAAAAAGGTACTGCTCATGTCTGGTTCATTTAGAAACAGTAGAGTACTAGTAAGGTGGTCCTCTGGTTTGGTGGCTTTTCCAGTGGGTACTCTTGTCAAGTAAGATATCTTAGTCACTTTTCTATTGCTGTGAAGAGACCATGACCAAGGCAATTCTTATAAAAGCAAGCATTTAACTGGGGACTTGCTTACAGTTGTCATCATGGTGGGAAGCATAGCAGCAGGCCGGTGTGGGCTGGAGAAGTAGCTAGGAGCTACATCCTGACCCTTGGGCAGAGAGAGACTGGGCTCAGCATGGACTTTTGAAACAGCAAAGCCCACACCCAGTGACACACTTTCTCTAACAAGGCCACACCACCTGATCCTTCTAACCCTATCAAAGAGTTCTACTCCTTGGTGACCAAGGATTCAAATGTGTGAGCCTAAGGGGGCTGGCCATTCTTATACAAACCCCCACACCCAATGGCCTGAGTTCAGTCCCTAGGACTCCCATGGTGAGAGGAGAGAACTGACTTCTGACAATTATCATCTGATTTCCATGCTGTATGCACATAGACAAGTAAATGTATAAAGAAACCAAGAACAATATAAACATGCATTTCCTCCACTAAAATAGAAGAATACTTTGATGAAAAGGCCTTCCACTTCTGAAACTTTATCCTTTTGCTTCCTCTTGAGTCATTGTCCTTGCTGGTCGTTTCCTTCTCTATGTTATGTGTGAACCCCAGCATTGCATTTGGACAGTTTACATGCCCCCTGCACAGGAATTTCCTGGGTTATTCAGCCTATAGCCTTTCCTCCGCCAAGCTCACTTGGAACTTTTTGTAGTGGGTTTACCCTCCTGTCGGCTCTGTGGGCTCCTTCCTCCAGGGGTGTGGCCCCAGTGTTGTTTCTTGAGGTCTCTGGCCCACATCCCACTAAGGAAGTATTAACGTGCCAGCAGTCAATTAAGCAGGCACCTGTTGGAGATGCCACAGGTGAACAGCTGGGTCCATTCCCTTGTGGGAACAGTGGGCAGGTGTGAGATGCATCCTAGGAGGAGGGAAGTATGCCAGAACTGGTGATATGGGCTCCCTGGTGCCACTCCTTCCTGTCCAGTTCTTAGCTTAGGACGTCTTAACATCAGGGGAGTGAGCCAACTCTAGAGAGCAGGACATAGAAACCCCAGAGAAGGTTGTCCGTAGCTTATAGCTGTAGATTCTATGTGGCCATGATGTTGTGGATGCTTGGCTACCCCCAGACCTGTTTCATGAGAGGCTCTGCCCTGACTCTCAGCCTTCTGGACATTTAAGGGGGGCAGTTTGTGAAGGAGGGTTGCTCCTGGGAGGCTCTCCTAGTGTGAATGGAACACCTCTGATGTTCTCATGGTCTCCACAGGTGGAGGAAGGCCTTGTCTGCAATTTTAGGACTGTCTGGTTTTGGGGCCCCCTAGAACTTTTGGTTATTGGCCTTTGGCAGCTGGCACAGGATCCTTGGGTGAGAAACCCGAGCCACTGACTATGTTTCTCAAAGTCTATTGGATCTATTTCAAACCCTGAGGAGTCTGCCTCAGCAGCAGGCCTTGGGGCTTCTCTCAGCCTCCTTCAGCTCTTAGTTGACTAGGTAAGCTTTGGGCGGGACTTGGGACACATGCCCCGTTGCCAGGCTCCTTGGCCTCAAGCTCTCACCTACAGGTAATAGGGGCTGCATTTCAACCCGTGGTACTGGGTCTATGTATCTGGAATTCCTTTTTTCAGCGGAGAGATGGCAACATCCTTACAGCTCAGCCAAGTTGTCATTTGGTGAGCCACAACTAGAATGCTGGTGTGGTCCAGGGGTGAAAGCCCCTTATCTTATGTTGCTTGATAGGGATGACTTCTTAGAGGGAGATCAGGGTCCTGGTACCAAAGTAGA